TCCCTCCCTCCCTCCCTCCCTCTCTCCCTCTCTCCCTCACTCACTCACTCACTCACTCACTCACTCACATATGTCTTTCTTCCCCTAGTTCAACGACCTTGTGCTGATATGCCTTCCTCAAGCCATGGGCACGCACACCGTGAAATGTGCTCTAGACGTGGATGGCATGCTGGTGCGTGAGTTCGATGTTACAATCTGAAAAAGAAAAAAAAAATGTTTGACGAGGCAGTGGACTCCTCGTCAATTTTTTGACATGTGGAGTTATTGGTATCATCTGAAAGCTTATTTATTTTATTTGCCTTGCTTTTTATGAAAAAATACCTATTTATCTTCAATAGAAGTCGATATATATATGCCTTTAAAAGAGGTGGGGTTGCATGGTTTCAGGGGTAAAATTAGCAAGAAAATGGCCGTCAAAGTTTGGTTACTTCCATAGCTTGAGAGTCCTTGGGAAATGAAAAATTAAATGTGCTTTTTTGTGCCATTAATAAACATTTTTCAATAAGATGCAGAGAGAAATTTTTTTTAAATAGACATAAAAGGTGTAGAGCCAAAAAAAAAAAAAACTTTAATTCACAAATCAGTGGAGAGATGCCAGTTTCTTCACTTTGATTATTTTGACGAGCGCCTGATTTCACCACGCTGCCTCATATTTTATATAATTTGATTTTTGTTTTATTTACAGATCAAACCAGGAGTCTTCCCCTACATGAAAGACACATTTATTGTGCACAGTAGACAGAGAGCTGTTGAGTTGCAGGACTGGTATGTAGAGGGCGTGGGTTTGGTTCTGTGGTCAGCTTTTGAGCTTTCAGAGATGTTAACAATCATTTACCAAACTGGATACTGGCGGGTGTTCTCATGTGGTTTGCTCTGTCTTTCCTATCATGTGACATGTCTAATCTTTGGTACTTATATGACCTAATTGTATTGCAAGTACTGTAAAACTCTTACTAAAACTAACTACTTGTTTCAGGAATATGAACAATGAAGCTACCAAGTGGCGAGAGGTAAGACAAAATCTTTTTGTTTTGTTTTGTTTAGTGGGGCTTTTTGTGGGGAGGGGAGGGGGGCTATTATTTGTTTTGTTTGTTTTTTCTGGGTTTCCAAGTCTCATGAACCTTTATCAGGTGCCATGTTAATGATCTAACTGTGGCTTCATAGTGAAATCAGGCACTCACTGAAATAACGAAATCAAAGAGGCCTTCATTTTTCTGCATGTTGAGCAATTTTTATCAATTTATGGGGTGGTTGGACTGGGGCTAAACTCTTTTTACTTCCTTTTAATAACGCATTTGTAAGGCAGCATGATCAAATCAAGCGCTGGTCAAAATAATCAAAGTGAAGAAACAGGCATTTTTCCGTAGGTTTGTGAATTTTTTATCGAATTTTTTGTTTTATGGCTCAACACCTTTCATGCCCATTAAAGAACACATTTAATTTCTGTGTTGATTTTTACTGAAAAACGTTGATTAAAGGCACAAAAAATGTGAATTTTCAGTTTCCATGGACCCTGAAGCTAAGGAAATAACTCATCTTTGGCAGCCATTTTCTCACTAATTTTACCTCTGAAACCAGGTGACCCCCACCTCCTTCATCTGTCAATATCCCAACTTGTATTCAAGACAAATGGTATTTTTTTCATGGAAAACAAGACAAAGGAACAAGTTTTAAGATAATACCAATAACTGTACCTGGTAACAAAAAAAAATTAAAAGAGCCTGATTCCACCCCATCGTAACACTTTGTAATGTGGCGCTTACTGAAAAAGGCTGACAAAATGAGCTGTTTGTCGTACCCCACTAATGGAAATGTTGTCAGGAAGGAGACACATAAAATGTGTAGATTTTATACTGATACCATTTCCCCCAAGTTAATAACCTGTCTTTTATCATTTCATATAAGAAACTGCATACAAAGTTTTTCATTTCATATAATTTATTACTTCATAAAATTTATCATTTCAAATAATTAAATTAAACTATAGACAAAACCTATATAATTATTTCTTGCATCTATCTGTATCCATATATGGCTTAATTAAAACCAAGGTGACTCATTTTGTCAGAACACCTCACACATATATTATATGTGTCCATGTGGCATAAATTCGAGAATTAACTAATTTTGCCAGCAATTCTCACATATGTCTTTTATTATTTCATATATTTGTACAAACTAAACCTATAAAAATGGCACTCATATGACCTTATGCAGTAAAACCTCTACAAAAACCAAAAAAACCCTATAAATTTGACTAGAATTAACTCATTTTGTTAGCACTCATCACCTTTGTGAGTCGTGCTGACAGAATTAATTGCTTCTCACGGTCCATGAATGGAGATATTTGCCGAAAATCAACGCAAGGGTTGAATTTATAGATTTCAACCGTTTCCACTTTTTATCATTTCAAAAAAATTAATTGAACAGTCATCCTGTAAATTTGACACTTAAATTATTATCTATTTCTGTTGGGACCAAATTCGAAATTTCACTAATTTTGTCAGAACGTGGCGTCAGTGGCCTAGTGGTTAGACTCTCGGACTCGCAACCGTAAGGTCGTGGGTTCAAATCCCGTCAGAGGCCCGGCGTTGTGTCCTTGGGAAAGGCACTTTACACGAATTTTCCTCACTTCGCCCAGATGGAAATGGGTACCCGGCTATAGACAGTGAACGATCTTGTTAGTTTAATAGTGTTTGAGCGCGTGAAATCCGCAGCATGCACTGTATGCTTCCGCGGAAGCCGAGAATGTTTCTGAGTGTTCTCAGAGGGTCTGTTCTCAGAGGGTCTGCTGGGGTAATAATAGTTGTAAAGCGCATAGAACAAGCTCCTGAGCATGGATATGTGCTATATAAATGCAATTATTATTATTATTAATATTTTTCTCCCCTCAGAAAATTCAAGAGGTCATCGACAAATACAAAGAACAGCGCAAATCCCGCGGGGAGTTGGAGACGTCACTGGACTTGGATGTGAGTAAAAGTAAAAACAATGTCGCTGGACTTGGATGTGAGTAAAAGTAAAAACAATGTCACTGGACTTGGATGTGAGTAAAAGTAAAAACAATGTCACTGGACTTGGATGTGAGTAAAAGTAAAAACAATGACAATAATACAGATACGGATCAAATTTTCACCAAGTAAATAACTATGATGATAATAAAGATGATAATAAAAGTAATAATATTTTCCCGGAAAATCTCGTCCACTCCATTATCCGGGGGTTCTCATGGTCTAGAAGTTAAGATGTTCACCTCTCATTCAATAGATCTAGGTCCCGGGTTTGAATCTGGATGACAATAATGCAGATACAGATCTACACCTAGCCTTCTCAGATGAGGCCGAAAAATCTCGGAGGTCCCTTTTGCAAATTGCACACTTTAAAGATCCCTTGGTGGTCCACAATTGATAAGAGTAGGCTTCGGCCGTCTCCCGAGCAAAATTCAAAATTTCCTACCTACTGTCAATGTTTGGTGTGTCCTACGGACTCGCATGACCTCATGCAGTGACAAACACCATAAACACTTACCCCCCCCCCCCCCAAATAATACCAAGTTTCGTAAAACTGTTACTAAAAATAAACAAATCTCTACTCTCAGAACCCTGAAAATCTACTGGGCGAGATGGCCCCCCTGTGGGTGCCTGATTCGGCAGTGACATCCTGCATGGTGTGTGATGCGCAGTTTGGCATGGTCACTCGGAAACACCACTGTCGGTGTTGTGGAAAGGTGAGAGATGGGGGGGGGGT